TCATCCACCGTCTCTTTGTCTGTATATCAGGTAAAAGCTGTCACACTCTACATTGACCTCCTGCCATCTCTTCGTCTCTCTCGTGCTGACATCCATTATGTGTGTACTGGTATGATGCAGGTGTTGCTGATCAGCTGCAGACCAACTATGCTAGTGACCTTCGCAGCATCCTCAAGACTCTGTTTGAAGTCATGGCAACCAAGTGTGAGCAGGGAGACAACGATAAGCAAAAGAAAGGTGAGGAACATGTCTTTCCCTTATTGATATGATACAGACAGAATTCAAATCTGCCTTAGTGCGAGTGTTTTTATTGGCCCGCATACTCTACACAAATTTCATTGGACATATTGCTCAAAAATATTAAATCTGCATGTACAGATTTAATATTTGTCTGTAAATTTTATGTTAATTGTCATTGTTAAAGCGGCTGTAATTGATACTTTTAATGTATCAAATGACAAAGTGAAAGGGAGCGCTCTTAGTGATGAGCATACAGAGAATTACTACCTAAATATGCAGCTTGCCCCTGCTTTATGGAGCTATATAGTGAGTTTAGCTGGCCAACCACAACTTTACTCTTTTGGTTCACTCTCACTGCTCTCATAGCACAGTTTTCAGCTGCGCTAGACTGCTGTTTTCTGCAAAAAAGCTCCAAATCTTTTTTTACACTAACTGCTCAGCACCAAATGCAGAGAGACACAGTCAGTGACAAGCTAGTGAACATACTGGAATATTTAGCAGCTAAAGAACCAGAGTTGGTAGAGACCAAAAAGAGAATGAATATTAGACTTTCATTCATCAGGTGACCATAACCACGACTCCAGGGGAATAATAATGTTGCTCTGTAACTGCTAGATGTGTTAATGAGCAACCATTTCCTAAGTTCGCCATATGAACTTAAAAGGTGATGATACTGTATGTCACTATTGTGTTCTCAACTTCATTTTGCTGTCTTCAAGGGCCAAAATCAGCTATTGCAGGTTTCACTACTTGATAAATCTGAATAAAATGCTGATCATAGAAAATAATCTGCTTTTTAAAAAATCAGTGTTTGACCCCGAGCTAAATTCATGTAATCAGTGGTTCAGCCCTGCTTTTTTCCAAATAAAATATGTAACAAAAAACTTTTTGAAAAAGTCATCCATACTGTTATATCATATATCACATCTTAATTACTGGAATGTCTTTTCACCTGCCTCAGCTGCACTATATTGTCTCTAACCTGTCCAGAATCAACAGTAATGACAATAATAACAACAATCAATCACACTACACCGGTTTTAGTTTCTTCTTCTATGGTGTCCAGCAGGTCCTGTTCTGCGTAGTGCAGTGCTGGAGGACTGCGCTCTCTGTCAGGAGACCATTTCCTCATCGGAATTGGCAGCCAAGGCCCGGGAAGGCCAGTTCGAAGGTCAGTAAATCCACAAGCAGACCCACTCAGAGTTTGGTTGAAATTTTAGCTTGTTCCTTTTCTCTGCTGCGGACGTACTGATGGTAACTGTTTCTCGTTGGCTCTGTGTAGACCCTCCAGACTGGGTCCCCGATGAAGCCTGCAACTCCTGCATTGCCTGCAAGGCTCCCTTCACTGTCATCCGTAGGAAGCATCACTGTAGAAGCTGTGGAAAGGTACAATGACTCTCCGTCTGAGGGAGCTCAGGTGGCAGAAGTTTAATGCGTGGTTGATCAAACTGAAGTCTCATTCATTGTGTGTCGTCGTCCTATGGATAGTAATTCATACATTACTGTGTTATTTCAGATCTTCTGCTCTCGCTGCTCCTCCCATTCTGCTCCTTTGCCCCGATACGGCCAGATGAAGCCTGTCAGGGTTTGCACACACTGCTACATGTTTCATGTCACGCCCTTCTACAGCGAAAAGGCTGGCATCTAACCCCAGGTCATTGCTGAGAGCACACAGTCCGCCACAACAAGAGCATATGCAACGGACAGATCCACGGCTGTGTACAAAGCAAATGCTGCACGGCTCTGGTAAACTTAATGGTTGTCATCGTACCTACTAAGCAAGGCTTGAGAGTAAGGTCATTTCAGATGACCTAGCAGAGAGACGAGACACACAGCGATGAGTGATGATTTGACCTGTTTCTGTTGCTTATGAGAGACTGGTGTATCACACGGAACCAAAGGGTTTGATTTCAGTGCCCAGCCAACACACACAAATGATTCACAAATGCCTGTATGACTATGGATGTGCAAAAGGGAGAGGGGATAAACAGGCAATAACAGATTTTGATCTGGCATTGTGCAACAATCCTCTGTAGCAGTTTGCAGCACACAATCAGAACAGGCCACCTTGTTAGTTTTGTTGCTTTTAGTGTAAATGAGAGGACTTGTGACATATTTTCCTATGCTTTTGAGAGCTTCCTACATTTGTGCCAGAGCTCCCACGGGACTCGGATTACTCAAAAGAATGTAAGTCATGATAACCATGTAAATAAGGATAATTCTGGTAATAGCTACACTACAATGTCTTCAGTAAACGGTTGCTATTTATATGGGGAGTGGAAAAAAATTTGCACCAGGCTACCACACCGAGTAAAGCAAAAATGAAAAACAGACAGCTTTTATATTGAGATTCCTTTTCATGCTTTTAATGAATGTGTAATTCTGTATCACTTTGTGAAATGGGGTCCAGGTTCTGACAAGTTTGATGTTCACCTTTTGATGGCAATGGGCTGTGCCCCTTGCTTTTACAGTTGCACCGTGGCATGTTAAGTTTTTCTCTGGGGCCTCTGCTGCTCACTGAGATGGATAAAAGGGATTCCTTAGTCATCAACGTCAGGTCTTGAAGGCCACCTAGTGGAGAGTTGACCTCTTTTCGCTCAGTGCTCTCATCACTATGTTGTGTACAATTTGTTCTGAACCAGAGGCCTTCTCAGGTGCTGGCCTACAGACTAAAGGCCGATTTTTGCCTATTGATTTCTCTTCTTCACACTCAATATAGTGCAATATTGTGACTAGTGCAATGATTCTGCACATTTTAAAAGACAACCCTTTGGTATTTAAATTGTAGTTATAGGCCATTTCTGAAGAGAGAAGTTTGATTGGGGTTTACACTAAATTAGTTCCGTCTTCGGCTCTGGTGGCACTGTCAGATAGAAACAGATATTTTGTTCGCAGATGGACATAATTTGCACCTGACTTCCTTTCTGCTCTTGAATCTGCATCCGTTGTGATGAGTAACTTCCATGCTCATTATGTATTACAGTTTGTAGATCTGAATGGTCTGAAGAGGCCAATCTACAAATCTGGACCTTTGAGTGACATCAATGAAATATCACATAATGTCCATTCTGCTCTGACATAAAGCAGTTTCTCAGGCATTACATAATCAAATTCACTCACTCTCATTGAATCTTATTTTTGTCAAAGAGCTTATAAACTCACATTGAAATGGTATGTTTTTTTTCTTTTATAAAGAACAAAAACAGTGAATGAAGCTATAATTACTTTTATGTAAAATACAAGGAATCATGCAGTAATTAAAGGGCAGGATATACTATTATTGTTTCAAAGCTTTGTTTTTATTTTGTAACATTTCCATGATAAGAGCTGTGTGAAATATTCAACAAACAAATAATGTTATATAGTTTTAAATGCGATGTATATTGAAATAAACTACTTTTTCCTGTTTAAAAATGTTGCCTGATAACTTCTCCTCTTTACTTTTACAGAAAAGTGGCATTGAATTTTTGCCTTGAAATGTGTGATTTGTGTCCTGGATTGATCAACCCCACGGCCCAGCCCCCTTAATTTGTAATGTCATACTGATACAGCTCCCCAGGCTTTGAAGTCGATTTCAGTATTGACTGAATGTTCTCCGGAGATGCTCATTTACAGCCTGGGGCTATTTTTGTTACTATTTGTCAGTTCTTTCCTGCCACTTGAGTAGGCAGCGTAGGCCTACTCATCAGATGACCAACACCCTGCTTAACTGAATTTCTGAGTTTTGCTGAGAGTTGGAGTGACTCATTAGAGCTTCAGATTTTTCCACGTAGATAAACTGGCACACTCACCGATTTAAAGAAAGATCAGTTCACTTGTCTTGAATAACCACATCAGCCTGAGAGTTGTTAAATGTATTCTGTGGAGGGAGCTTTCTAAAGAAAGTTTCTGTTACAAAATGGGGGCATGGAGTTTGAAAGATGTGAGTCTTTACCAGACATGGAGGGTCATAGAAGAGACTAAAAATCAGGATATTTAGCCTCAGTGGCATTGAGTTACTATTTAGTTTTTTTCAATCTCTTTGAAATACCCCAACTTCATGAGAATGCCATACAAAATTACTAGAGTAATGCTCAAAGAAAAACACATACAACATACACTACAACATTCTGGACCAGCACAGGAAAACTTCTCGTGATAAGTCGAAAATTTTAGTCTAAAATTTCCTTATATCACAGGTACAGCTGTCAGTACTGGATTAGAGGCAGAAACAGCAATAGGATCCCCATGCTACTATGAGTTAAACAGTTAACCCAGTTAACGTTATGGTGAACTGATCTGGTCAGCACAGGCGCCACTAGGTGGCAGCACTTGTTCATGGTGTGGCATTAAAATGGGCTCTATCGGTTATAGCACAAGGAGATACAGTAATGAACCATATTTTCATGAATTTGCCCTTAAATATTGAACATGTTGTGTTCCAGGCGTGGTTTCTGTAGCAATTTACATCTTCCGAAGTTATTTCTGAGTCTTTCATGCCCAGTAGTAAGTTAATTATTTTAACTTTTGATTTAATCTCACGCAGGAGAATGGCAACACAAAATTTCATTAACCTGCCTTTAATACAGCCATAAGGATTTAATTTAGTATCCTGCTTTAAACTCCACAGTTGTTAACTCTTTTCCCATACATTAAGCTGCCAGCTGTGAGATAATGGCTCTGTGATGAAGCAATTGAGTGAGTGGCTGAGAGATAAAGAGTTAAATGTGTCCGGCCTCTGCAGGCTGTGATTGGTCCTCAGCCGCAGCGTTGGGACTGACAACAAGTCTCCGCTCCGTGCGGACTGGAAAAGTCACTTGGTGGACGGAGCCAGCTCCACAGACTGGACTGAGTTTTTAAAAATTAGCACATGGGACTATAATTGTGATTTATGGAAGAGCCCGGTGTTATTACAACCTTGAATGTGCTATTTTATTTCTGAGACGAGCGCGCGCTGGTCAGAGGTCGGTGAAAAGTCGACCACTGTCACTTTTGATTCATGGACTCAATACGGACTTCAGCTAAAAGCATTTCTGTCAAGAGGCTGACTCAAGGTTGACTTCATTCATAGAATATCCAGGTATGTTATCACCATATGTACACCGGCCTTTACTCCATTTTATTTACATGTATCCTCTGTATGTGCGTGCTTACCCATATTTGACTGTAAGTGAAGCAAAGATAAACCGGTTAAAACATACGTTTTCATGAACCGTTTGCTTTTCAAGACCTCGTTAGCTGTTTGAATAGTTAGCCGACATATATTCATAGCTGTGCTATTACATTAACTAGGACGTCTTAAACTTTACCAGTACCCCAAAACAGTGGTTCTCAAAGTGGGGTCCGGGGAGGGGGTTCCAGAGGTCCCCAACAAAAACGGGAATAATTTATTTTCTTTATAATTCCATCCATAATTAACACAATGACAGAATGTATGAGAACTTGGGGCATGGGTTTCATACACTTTCTATAATAAAACATCTAAAAGCAAAACTCCTAGCAGACAGGCGCCCTGGGACAAAATCTTATCAAACGAGGGTCCCTGGTCTAATTTGTTGGTCCAGTTTGAGAACCACTGCCCTAAAAGACTGTGGACCCCAATGTAAAGCCCCAGACAGACCCCAAACCTGAGTTTCTGACTGCACTTGGACATACTGTTCATGTATTGCCATGGAATTTATTTATTTTTTTTAATACTGGTATTGTGTAATATTCTTTTTAGACCCCACAGACATTCTTGCAGGCCCCAAAATGTTAGAGGAGTCTAGTTGGAAACCACTGAGGTCAACTCAGCAAAAAACTTTGTCCAGCCAAAAGTATTTTACTATCATGAAAACAATGCATTAAATAGTGCAAACATTAAGTTAAATTTTATATACTAAAGTAATATTTTTTTAAATTATAGCATGTGAAATTGGCTTGAACAACAAAACATTTTGATCTGATAGCCCCCTGGATTGCTATGTGCATATACACTGTGTCACTGTTACCATGTGTCTTTCAGATTTAGGGGACATGAAGTTGTCTTTGGACAGTATGGGCGTCCTTAAGATTGTGCTGTTCATCCTTGAGGCTGTTTTGCTGACCGACTGCGCAAGAGGTGAGAGCTGCTTCATAAGCGTTCTTTCTTTCTCACTAACATTGCGTGCATTAAACCTGGAAGGTAATGCCAGATTCACAGTTCATTATAACTCAAGTTGACTGGCTGTTTTCTTGTGAGCATGAAGAAAGTCTCAGTTGGCTCTTAACGCTTTCGCGCAGAGAAGTAAGAGACGGAAAACTTAGAGCTGAAAAATCTCTAAACAGAGCCCAAAATCAACACAGGGCAGGGGAATGAGAGAGGGCAAGCCAGCCCCTACCCCCAGTTTGTGTGTGTTTCAGTCATGGCCGTGTGTGTGTGCGCGCGCACACATTCACTACAGCTAAACCAAACAAACATCATCCATCAGCTTCCCAGGGTGAAAGAACACAAGTCAGTGTAAGAGTCCGGCTCTCCCGCAGCTAGCCAAGGGACTGCCACACATCAGCCTTATGTGTGTGTGTTTTTATATGTGTGTGTGTTCACAACTGAAACACTGAGTGGAGAGCCTTACCACAGTCCACAGCACTGTTTATTGTGCCAGTATCAATACTTTGCTTTATAAAGACAAGTTACAGTGAGCTTGTCAACAGTTCATGAATAACTGTCGAGGCAATTTCTATGATTTCATCCACCATCACTGACTACTGAACCATGTCTGATGCAATCCAGTGGCATGAGTCAAAGACAGAGGCAAAACTTGAAACTACACTCTGGCTTTAATGAGAGAAATATGAAAGTCACACACATTTCCCTGGAAAACAAGCTCTATTGCTCTCTCTTTTTTGTCCCCAGCTTAGCATGGAAGTGAATTCAAGAGGCATCTGATAGGTACAATACCTGCATGTGGCTATCGGGGCTCGAGGTAGAAGGGGCAGGAGTGGGCAGGCTGTGGGTTAGAGGGGGAGATTAGATCTGTGGGTCTGCAGACAATGCCTCATTCACAGCGTGGCAGCCGTGCCTTCACGGCACGACTAAATCAAAAGTAAACAAGACGTGAAGGCTAAATAAGATTAGACAGGCAATTTTGTATGTTTACAGATTAGCAGATGACCATGAAGGAGAAACACAAAGGGATGAGGATGATGGAGAGTGAAGGTCCGATGGGTCTAAAATGATTTATTATCAGACAAAAGGAAGAATTTAAAGCCTGCTTTTCATAATTTGTCTGAAAGTGGTTACAGATGCACAGACACATGAGCAGATATGTTGGCAGGCGGTCTGAGTGAGAAGATTTTGAATGATGCTCGACAATCTGTGAAGTGTAAATATTCCACAGTTCTCCCAGCAGAAGCAGCGATACAGTGACTTCTGTGTTACAGTCCAAATGCAACAGCTTGACTCTGACATCCTATGATATACAGTCAGGGAGTTTTGACTCCAAACTTGTGCTTTTAAAGTGAAGCCAAGTCCGGAAAAGCTGGAAAACTCTCCCTGTAACACTTTAACAATACATGATGACAACTTTGACTTATGTGTGAAACAGTAAAAGCACACTGGAAGTGTTACTTTACTGCTGTTATGCTGAAATTTCAAACAATGTACCTGAGAAGACAGTAAGTTTGGGTGAATGATTTTAAGCCTGTTGCTGTCAGTCATCAGGCGACATCTGACCCTGGACCCCATTCCCCTGTGCCACACACACACACACAGGCATCAACCCTCCCTCTATCTACAGCTACGACTTTGCGACTGGCCAAGCAAGAATTATTTCTTGAGATACCCCCCCCCCCCCCCCACTAGAAACCCCCGCACTTCCTCCCTCCCAGTGCCTTCTTTCCTCCCCCTCTGGTGCTCGGCCACCCCCAGCAGCTGGAGGAGGTGCTCAGTGATGTGTCCCAGTAGAGCCTCTAATGTGGTGACAGGCCCGGGGACCACTGGGCTCCACGAATGCTGCAGCCTCGACATGTGGATCTGCAGAAATGCACCCTGGGAGAAACAGAGAGGCACCAGGTGTGTCAGTTATGCACCAGGACTAGCTAACAATAAACACATATGCACTGAATGTTACTGTTTTGATGCATTTTATTTAGAAACAGGCATCAAATACAGTTTTTGAGCATGTATGCGACTCCGCTTTATTCCGGTTTTCCAGCACCACACACATGTTTGCTTCACCTCTGGAGCCAGCCGGTGAAGTTTAAAGCTTGCAAACTGCTTTGCAACCCTGTTGGAAAATATACATTTTATAGGAGAGTTACATCATGGTTTCATAACAAGAAGGTACTATGAGATAAATTGTATGCCAAGGGCTTTTAAAATCACAAGGCCATTTGGCTCCCAGACAGTTTTCCATTTCCTTTAACCGTAATGAGGCTAGTTTCTCAGTAACCAAATGCCCCAAAGTCCTCTTATTTTTTAAATAGCTCCTGAATAGTAAGAAGGTGTAACAGTGGTGTTCTGGCTCGTGGGCCAAGCTGGTGAGATGAAGGGGGGGAAGAAAAGGACAAAGAATTAGTCTGAAAAAGCTCGGCTCTGCTGCTGTGTTGCCCAACTCAGACTTTAATGCTCCATTTAGGTATGAAAAGTAAAATCAGTTTTGTGTTACGCTTTGTTTTTCAGCCCACACCAAGCAGTGGAACTCAAGAAAAGTCAAACATCGTCTTCCGCTTCAACTCTGTGCGACTCTTCACCACATCACTTCCAATTTTCTGTGTTTTCAAACCAGACAATCACCACTGCCTGTCGCCCCTCCTTAAACATGTCCCCCTTCTTTTTCCCTGCTTCTCTCTGCATTTCCTCCCATTTATTACCAGTGTAAAGTTAAAGGAAGTGAGTTAAGTTATGTGCTGTTGTTAAAACAAGGCATGAGCTGACCTTTACTCCCACCCAGCCTTTCTCAACTCTCCCTAGCCCCTATTTACTGAGTCTGGGTCCATTTGCGGAGAACAATGGATGGATTATTACGTGTGGCGGTCCCACAGGTCGGACAGGGCAGCAGCAATTCATTTTAAACACTCCTCATCGTCTATTAGAGCTCACACTAGACGGGGGACTCTCTGAGGCGCTGCCGTTTAGAGGTGCGTGAGAAGAAGTTACGAGAGTGAATGAGCGCTTCTTTTGTGCGCCTGAATATATGCGTGTGTTTTATTAAGCAGGCTGAAATTACCCTGAGAAAAGTCATGATAATGAGACATCCAAGGAGCACGGGGCAATTTGGAAAACCTCAGAGGTATACCAACAAATATTCCCACTCCGCCTCCTTCTCCTCTAAACCAGGTGGAAGTAATATTCCTCCTGCTATGATCCCTCTGTTTCTATCACGGAAATAATGTTGCCACCACTATAACAATCCATGTTTCACATCTATCAGCACACACGGCTGACCCTTTCAGTTCAGGAGGAAACATTCGGAGAGAGGAATGTGTCAGACTTCACCCCTCCGAGGGGAAAGAAAGGAAAGGGCTGTAGCTGTGATAAGTAGTCATAATGGAGGTCAGTTGGTGTTTACTTTAGCAGGGTCATATAATCCCTGTGAGCAACACTCCCCTCATTGACTGACTTTAATGGCCACTTCAATTAGCATTCATGTGGAATTTCAACAAACCATTGTCTGCTTCCAGTATTTGTCATTTTCAGCTGTATGCTAATGCTTGGATGCACATGAGGAAAATTTTATTTTCCCCCTTTTTTTATTATTTAAGGAAATCTTATTGAATCATGCGAAGGTCTGTGTGTGTGCAAAGCTCATTAGTTTGTTTGGGCAGTTGGCTCTGGGAGTGTTTTTGGACCACACACACTCTTCCTGCTTGCTCAATGGATTTGGGTTCAATTAAATAGAATTCCTTTTGCTCCCGTTAACCTTCACAAATGTGGCTGCTTACAAAATGCACACGGAGGTGCCAGACTGTCACCATTCACATGGTAATCAACTTTATGCGCTTCCCTGGTCTGGCTTGCAAGATTTACCTGGCATATGAATTTCATATTTTGGTTAATTGAAAGCTGTTTAGTGTTAAATAAGCATGTGATGATACTGGACACTGTTAAGACTTCACAGTTCATGCTGCTGTCTTACACCCTTGGCCCAAGAGAGAGTGGACTGAGCAATTGGAAGCGAGCCTGTAGGTGGGGGTGAGGGTCCGCCTCGCTGGAACCTTACAAGTGACCTTACAATAACATTTCAGCTCCACAGTGGGAAGTGTTTGTCTTGCGCAACCCCTCTTACTAAGCCTCCTTCATTTCTCCAGTCCCGCTCTGTTTTCTCTTTTTCTTTTGAGGAGCCAAGTCGTGGGGAGAGACCCCCTCCTCCTCCTCCTCCTCCTCCTCCTCCTCCATCTCCTCTTCATTTGGTGCTCCACAGCTGTTCTGTCAGTCACTTCAGTAAGCGAAATGATGGGATTCCAATTGCTCTCCTCTTTCACCCCTCAACAGGAGAAGCCGTAATTTGTTTTATTGTAGATTTGAACTTGTAGATTTATGATTCGGACGGATGAGTCTGCATTAAGCTGCAGACAGGAGGTGTAGAAATCAAAACTTTTTTCCTACTTTTCTTTCTTCTTTCTGCTTCTCCATGACTTTCCTCTAGCATTGGTTCCTTGTCACCTTGGTATAGAAGCCACCTTGTGAAATAAACAACAAATAAGTGCACCATGAAAACCTTTTGTTGTTTCAGATAAACATATTTATACTGATGTATGCCATGATGGCCTTCAGGATGTTGCTTGGACTGAGCGGGTTTGGACAAGTTCAGTAGTTGTCATTGTGATGTTAGTGAATAAAAGGCTGATTTAGACGGCAGAAATATTATCTGGCCCATCTTACTGTATGTGCTTGTTTGCTGTACTTGCCACAGCCTGCTTGAATCTGTTCTGCTTTAGTCTCATACTGACTTATCAGAATACCAAATCAGGCAGCCAGGAGGTACTTGTTTACATGTATGTCAATGATGAGCTTCCTCTCTTATTTTTATTTATTTTTACCTCTCTGTGCCATCAGGTCTTTTATTGTTTTCCTTCTGTTTATACTTTAGGGAAGCAGTTGGGTGTTAGTCATCTTTATAATTCTATATCAGACATCAATACCTCATTTGAAAAAAAATATTATATAAGTCATAAGTATTTAAGTCTTTGTTTTTTTTCCATCTCCTTCACTCTTTGAGGGTTTCATTAGAAATCAGTTGCTGTCCTGACGAACCCTCAGACACACACACACGCCAGCCCTGCCATTCTGCAGTTAAAAGGTTGATTGAAACTTATGATGGTGGCAACAGCGATGGCTGGCTGGGCCTGAAGAAAAACAAGACAGGGGACAGCTGGGATAAAGAGCTCTGAATGAGGCCTCCGCTGCCTTCGACACACACCCCCGGACCCTCCTTCCAGTTTCTTCCACCATCCCCTACTCGACACCCCTCTTTCAGTTGACCTCCAAAGATCTTAGATGAGACCCCACACAGCTTTGTGGCTTTTTCACTTCCACTTAGTTTTTCATTAGTGATTCTTTTGAGCGACCTCGGAAATTCTTTGTGCATTGTCCCCATTGATTGAGGTTAAAAAGAGTCTGGTCTGGGTGATTGCTTGTCACAGTACGTCAGAATAGGAGTTTTCATTTTCAGCGTTACAGGCTGTCATGATGGCATTTGTTTGCTCCCATTTCCAGCAGCAGCACTCTCTCTCAACCCTGGTGAGGCGGCAAAGAGGCCCTGATTTTTCATTCAGGGGACCTCTGTAATGAATGGAAAAATATGTCCCCGCCTTGACTTGAAGAGTGGAATGGGACAAGGGAGGAAAAATCATTTCAGGAGCAAAGAGTATAATCTGTCATATTTTATAATAGGGCTACTGCTATCCCAGGCTGGAATCCTGTGCCATGCAATGAAACTGATTTGATTTCCTCATGCACAGGGATGTGAGTTTGGGACTTGGATCAGCCCCCAGCCTGGATGTGCTTGAAGTTAGAGGCTTACCAGATGGGGGCAATGCTCCTTTCATACAGTTATTCTGTGTCTAGATTGAATATTAGCTAAACTCATTCTTCTTTTTGTTTATTTTTATCCATGCTAGTAGCCCGACTCTAGGGATGACAGTATCAGCTTTTCAGTTGGTCAGTTGGTCAGTTGGTCCAGACTGTAATATCTAATAACTATTTGATGGATTTCCAAGAAACGTTGCTAGTCCCCGGAGGAGTTGCTTATTCTCTGACTGTAGCGCCACCATGAGGTTGATATTTGTGGTTGAGAGTGAAATGTCTTGATTGACATTTCATGGCAGTCCTATTGAATGGATTGCCATGAAAACTGGTACAGATTTTCAACGTCCCTAGAGGATGAATTAGAAATACTTTGTTATCCTCTGACACATTATCTACTTTTAGGCATTCAAAATTGGATAGTTAGCAGTAGGAAATAAATGGATTCAATAATGCAGTCCTTGCAGCAGGACGTCTATTCTGGTCATTAGCTGCCTGTCCCTGTGCAGGTCACCTTGATAAAAGGACTGGATAGGTCAGCATGGACAGTTGATTAACAATGAGAGAGACAGCCAGACTGGCAGACAGAGATGGATAGAGGGCAGTGACCTTTCTACAGCCGAGTTGTAAGGTGAACCGGGAAAGCACTGAACAAATTGTCACTGTGAAAGGGCGAGTACCACATCGTAATGACAAGCTCAACAACTCCTCGATGACAGATTGATTTGAGACAATATTCCTGGATTGTCAAGAGGCCCCATTGCTGTCAGTGAGAGCTTTGCCAGTTCCTTCACCCCCTCCGTCTGTCTCCCTTGGCTTCTCCCCTCTCTGTCTCGTCTCTTGTCTCTCCCGCCTTTCTCTTTCCCTCACCCACTCCTCTACTAGCCTCTCCCTCCCTCCTGCTCCTGTCTGAATCGCTCCATTCTGCCAAAACACTCCTGCTACATCGCAGTCTGTCATTGGCCCTCTCCTAAAAAGACCTTGTTGACAAAGGTGCTGGTGTAAAGTGCTTCCCAGTGTCA